ACCCCGGGCTGGGCTGTAGGGCTGTTATCCCGGGCTGGGCTGTAGGGCCATAACCCTGTGCTGGGCTGTAGGGCCGTAACTCGGGGCTGGGCCTCAGGGGTGTGACCCCAGCCGTGTCCTCTCCTCCCCGGGTGCCAGCACGTCGGCTGTGACAAGGAGGTTGGCTCCCTGAAGCAGGATGACAAGTGCGGTGTCTGCGGCGGGGACAATTCCCACTGCCGGACGGTGAAGGGCACGCTGGCCAAGACCCCCAAGCAGCCAGGTGAGAGGGTTGGGTGGGTTTGGGGGCGGGTTCACGAGCTGGATTCGTGCATCCAGTTGGAGGAATTCTGCTTTTTCTCTTTCCTCCATCCTTTGTGCCTCTGTTTCAGGTGTTTTGAAGATGTTTGAGATCCCGGCTGGAGCGAGGCACCTGCAGATAGAAGAGATGGAGCCAGCATCCCACAGCATCGGTGAGCAAGCCCTGGTCCGCCTCTCAGACCTTTTCTGATAATTCCCACCAAAAAGGAATTTATTCGGGCCATCCCAGTCTCCTAAATTGAGTGACCAGAGGGAATGGTACTGAAAACATCTCCTTCCTCCTCCAGCCGTGAAGAACCAAGCCACGGGGAACTTCATCCTGAATGCCAARGGCAAAGCGGCCAAAAGCCAGGTGTTCATTGAGATGGGCTTGGAGTGGGAATACACCGTGGAGCAGGGCAAGGAGAGCCTGAAAACCAGCGGCCCCCTGCACGAGGCCATCAGCGTTCTGGTGAGACTGGCTGGCACGTGGGCTGGGGGGCTCGGGGACGGCTGGCACGGACAGGGACGGTGATCTGAGGTGAGGTGTGGCAGGGGATGGAAGGATGGGRCAGAGGAAGGGTGGGGGGYGTGTGGTTAAATYCAGGAACGAGCTGGGRTGATGAGYTGYGAGAGGGAATGGTGGTTGGACRCAGTGCTCGGATGATTGCCTTCRAGTCCGGCYGYRTTTTCCTCTCCAGAAATGACTTATTGTCACTATTGGGGCAGCCATGACACACACACATGGACAGCACCTTGTAAAAGGGCTAAAAATCTGTTTTTT